AGGCTTGAACCAGGCAAAAGAAATAATAAAATTGAAAATCAAGGGAAACGGTCAGCGGAAAGAGTGCAGAGAGAAAGGCAGACAAAGAGAAAAAGAGAGAGAGAGAGAACAGGGGTGGCGGATGGGAAACGAGAAGGGCGAGGGCTGGAAACCCCGCACATATTCGTCGATTGCGCCGCAAACTCGTCCCCTGTTAACGATTTAATTACTTTCGTAACCTAACCGGATACCGGACCTCGCCCCCTCCCGCATGCATCGTATCAGATTTTCCATGGAGGCGAAGCTTCATGGAGATTGAACTTGTGCTCCTCCTCCTCCACCTCCGCAATTCGAGCCAGCCTGGACCGCCGCCGCTATCCCAGCCACGAATTATTTTCCACGAAAAAATTCCACGACCCTCGAGCTAGCCGCCGGTTCCCTCCACCTTCGCCCGCCCCGCAGCAAAACTGCGGCCTCCGCTGGAATGTTTATTAAATACCGAAGACGTTCAGGATCTTCCTTCGTTTTCGGCCTCTGCCCCGAAATTCTGAAGCTGAGGGGAGGGGGAGGGTAGTAGAGGGGGGCTTTATCCTCGTGGGAGGGGTATAGGGTGTAGAAGAATGTATTGAGTACTCGAGCAGATACGGGGGGAGAGAGGGAGGAGAGGAGAGGGTGTGATGGAAGTGGAGGAAGGATTTTGGATATTGTTGGTTTAATTTAGGCACTCTGTTTTTGTTCAGGGTGGAGGAGGATTGCGCGAACCTGTTGAAGAGCGAGTTAAGTTGGCTCGTTGTAGAAATTTATTCTTCGTCCAATGGGGTGTTCATATCGAAAGAATTTCGCGAAGTACTCCAAAGAAATGTATAAATATGGAACAATTGTTCATTTTACTCGTCGAACGATCTCCTTCCAAAAATAATTATTTTCTCTGAACGATAATTTGTCGAATTATTCGATCTATTAGTTATTGCTTAGTGATATCGAATTTATCTTGTATCGCTATTTATAAAATTTCGATTTAAAACAATTTCCATATCGAAAGGAATTCGCGAAATACTCCAAAAAAATAAATATGGAACAATTGTTCATTTTACTCGACGAACGATCTCCTTCCAAAAATAATTATTTCCATATCGAAAGGAATTCGCGAAATATTCCAAAGAAATGTATAAATATGGATCTCCTTCCAAAAATAATTATTTTATCTGAACGGTGAAAGATAAATTTGTCGAATTATCCGATCTATTATTGTTTAGTGATATCGAATTTATCTTGTATCGTTATTTATAAGATTTCGATTTAAAACAATTTCCATATCGAAAGGAATTCGCGAAATACTCCAAAAAAATAAATA